TAGGTTTAGGTTAGGTTTTGTTTAGCAAACTTCCGCACCGGCGGAGGCCCCGGAAGAACCCCCTGAGAGCAACTGCAGGGATCTATGTCTCTCTCTCTCTCTCCTTAGGTTAGATTTAGGTTCGGGAAGGTTTAGATTAGGTTTAGGTTTAGGTTAGGTTTTGTTTAGCAAACTTCCGCACCGGCGGAGGCCCCGAAGGAACCCCCTGAGGGCGACTGCAGGGATCTATGTCTCTCTCTCTCCTTAGGTTAAGTTTAGGTTCGGGAAGGTTTAGATTAGGTTTAAGTTTAGGTTAGGTTTAGTTTAACAAACTTCCGCACCGGCGGAGGCTCCGGAGGAACCCCCTGAGAGTAACTGCAGAGATCTATGTCTCTCTCTCTCCTTAGGTTAGATTTAGGTTCGGGAAGGTTTAGATTAGGTTTAGGTTTAGGTTAGGTTTTGTTTAGCAAACTTCCGCACCGGCGGAGGCCCCGAAGGAACCCCCTGAGGGCGACTGCAGGGATCTATGTCTCTCTCTCTCCTTAGGTTAAGTTTAGGTTCGGGAAGGTTTAGATTAGGTTTAAGTTTAGGTTAGGTTTAGTTTAACAAACTTCCGCACCGGCGGAGGCCCCGGAGGAACCCCCTGAGGGCGACTGCGGAGATCTATGTCCCTCTCTCTCTTTCATGTTTAGGTTTAGGTTCGGGAAGTTTTAGGTTAGGTTTAAATTAGGTTTAGGTTGGATTTGTTCTGAAGTAATGCCGTAAAGGCTGTCCAGAGACTCGAAAATGGAGCAGGAGGGATACAAAAGAAAGGTTTAGGTTGGGTTTAGGTTCGAGCGATTGCTACAGGCGCGAAGCTTTCCACAAGGCAAGACGTAGGCCATTGTGGAGGTTTTAATCACTACCTGGTTCCTTCCCTCAGAACGGCTAGATTTCTTCCACATAAAAGAAAAAAAAAATAGATTAGGTTTAGGTTAGGCCGCGAGAGCAATGAAGACTCGCTCAACAGCTGCTAAAAAATACTGAAGCATAGAAAAGCATAGTTTGAATTCGATTCGGAATTAGCAGTGGGAGCACGTGTGTACGTGTGTATCCCCTTGTTGCGCGTTCACCGCGACCATTGAAGCCGCGGCTTTAACTGACCCTGGCGCGGCGGGACTTTGCCGACATATTGCATTTTCCATAGAGGCCAGCAAATTGCAGCAACCGATCCGTCGATCGACACACTTCGCGTTCCTCGCA